TCTAGAACTCAAAGTGTCCAGAAGATTTTAAGATGTCTTCACCCCTTCCCCCACAAGTGTAAGTTGGGGAGGGACACACAGAGCAAGAACATGCAGGGCTGTTTTGTACAGCAACAGCTTTACAGCTAACCCATGGCATGGTCATTTAACATACCTACAGCCTTCGGCTGGTCACTTAGATATGCTGAATAGCTGTGGCCATGCTCTGGGCCAGGGAGATAAAGAAAGACTCCCCTGCCCAGGATGTGACTGGGAGGCAGGTCCCCCGAGTTACAGCACCTGTGTGGGAACTTGAAGAAGATTGGCTCCATAACATGGGGCCACACCTGCCCAGACCCATGATGGCAGCCGGATGGGAGCAGGTACCGGCCCGTCCAGAATCTGCGGGCCATCAGCGAAGCAGCCGACAGCCGCCACCTGGTGGTCCCGAACCCATATACCCTCCTGAGCCAGCTTCCCCCAACAGCAACGTGGTTTACCTGCCTTGATCTGAAGGATGCCTTCTCCTGCATTCCTGTGGCACCTTCTAGCCAACCCATTTTTGCCTTTGAATGGAAAATCCACACACAGCGGTCAAGACTCAGTTAACCTGGACTAGGCTGCCCCAGGGGTTTAAGAACTCCCCAACCTTATTTGGGGAAGCCCTAGCAGGAGACCTGAAGCCCCTCGCTAAGAGGGGCTGGACCTGACGATTCTGCAGTACATGGACGACCTCCTCCTGGTGGCCCTCCCAGGAACGGTGCCGGGAGGGAACGCACATGCTGCTGAAGTGCCTGGCTGAATGAAGGAAAGAACACCAGAAGCACATCCTGAACACACTCCTGCTCTTCACGTCGAGTTGCAGAGGGCACGCACTGAGTGTCTGAAGTGCCCCCACAGCCGTCCGTGCAGTCCTCCGTCATGGCCCTTCACGGTGCTCTGTTGGATTCGCCTGCCCCAGTGGCCTGCAAGCTCCCTCGGGGCTCTGGCAGTGTCCCCAGGCTCAGAGCTCAGCAACCAGGCTTGTTGGAAGTACTCATGGTGTGATCAGGGGCATGGACAGAAAATGGCAGAGTTGCCAACACCCTCCAGAACCTTGTCTGATTTCTGAGGAAAATGCTTGTTCTCCTGAGGAAAAGCCAGCCTGCACCCTGCGGCTGTAGAACTTGGCCCTACTACCAGGCTTTCAAGGGTCCAGACATTAAGCCCCTAGAATGGGGAGGAAATGAAGAGAAAGCCTTCCAAGATATCAAGGGGTGCCTTAGTAATGTTCCTGCCCTTGGACTGTCAGAGCCGGGGCAGCCTTTTGATCTGTATACCCACAAGAGAGACAAGGTAGCCTTTGGGTCCTGACCCAGCCTGTCGGACCAAGGCAACACCCGGTGGCTCACCTGTCTAAGCAGTTGGACCATGTCGCCACCAGCTGGCCACCTCGTCTAAGGGCAGTCGCTGCTGCCGTAACCCTCTTGCAAGAGGCAGACAAGTTAACTCTAGGCTAAGAAGTCAGTCTTCATGTACCACACGCAGTGGACAGCCTCCTTGCTGGGCGGGGGCATAAGTGGCTGTCGAACCCTAGACTGACTCAGTACCAGGGCATCCTCCTCCAAGGAAACCCGAGGGTGCATGTTAAGACCATGAAACAAGTCAATCCAGCCACCTACTTACCAGCAGAACTCGGAGAGCTGGACCATGACTGTCTTAAAGTAACCAAAAAGGTCCATGCCAGCTGGCCAGAACTCCAGGACCAGCCCCTGGCCCAACCTGATGTCACCCACTACATGGATGGAAGCAGCTATATGGTTGAGGGCAGGAGAGTCCCTGGGTATGCAGACCAGAAAACTGGACTTCCCTGGACAGACTTACTGCCGCTAGCATTGTCTAGGTTGCAGGAGTCACCCCTTGGATCCACTACAGCTGGGCCAGGACAGCAGCAGATCCCGAGGACCTGAGGACTAGGCCTGCACCTAGAATACCCACACTGAGGCACGGGAGGACGCCAGCCAGTAAAGAAGACACCAAGGAATGGACCATTGTCCCACAGGGTACCTGACTTTAATCGGCACCTTCGCAGGAGCATTGGCAATTGGACTAGTGACTGTGGCCCCTGGGGAATGGAATTCCCGCAAAGCGGGTCACCCTAGAAATAGTTTGTCTCTGTTTAATCTCTGTATTTTAATTTATTGTATGCTTTGCTTAACAAATGCGGCCCCTGTCTCAGCCCCAGTCTGCAAATGTAATACCCCTGGGCATAAAGTTGTGCTCAATGGTAGAGTGGTCTCTTGCTATCTCCCAGGGTCAGCTTTCAGCTCCTCCACTGGCATGCCATTGGGTTGCGTTCAGCCACAGCAATCCCTCTGCACTTGGAGAGGGAAGGTATACCGTACTGGAGTAATATCCAGGACCATGGAGTACCAGACCTGGAGGTGTCAGGCATATGGGACCCTGCAGCCTCTGGACCTTAGTCCAACACCTAGGGCTACAGTGACTCGTAGGGAAGCCACCAAAGCGCTAGCCCTCCAGCGGTACCAACACCAGTATCAGCAGTTGTAACCCTCCCAAGGACCTCAGCCTTATAGCCAGGTATTAGTGATGCTAAAAGGGATAAAACACCTTATAGCATCAAAGGGGGGAATGTGGCAGAAGAAAAACCCTATGAAAAAGCTTCTATGCTCTGTAGTTTCTTTGATAAGCAGTGCTCTCTGTAACACTTGCAAAAAGCTATTTTTAGGTAAGGAGCTGTCACCAAGGCAACGGCCGGTTATCTCAAGGCCAAAACTGACCTTCGCTGCTTGCTTTCAGCGGCTGGTTCCCCCTCCCTTTCTGCCTGTGTAACTAGTATATAAAGAAAGCTCCAGCTTAGACTCTTTGCTCAGAGGATTTGGATGGTTAACCACCCCCCTGAGCCCGCGCGTAATAAAGTTTGTGTTTCGTCATCTCCGCGTGTGAGTGATTTTCCACAACAGTGGGAGAACCCAAAGGCTGTCAGCGGAGGGAAAAACATGACACAGACCCGCAGAGAGAACATACTGACAGTCAGACGCACCACAGCGGCACGGCAACAGGGAGAACCGCGGGAACGCACGACGGAATGCAAGAAGTCGCCTCCCAAACATGAGTCTGTTGACCTTCTCATAGGGCTGAAATGCCTTTTAAAAGCTCTTTTAAAAATACATACAGATATAAAAAGGAAACAAGGGCATCTGAAAATCAAGAAGAGGGTTACCTTGCCCAGGAGAACAGAGAATGGAGTGGGCGGGGCAGGGTGGAGGTGTACGGTCACCTGGGTTACCGTCCAAACTCCCGCTTTTGTGGCAGTGGGTCTGAAGCTGTTTACACGACCAAAAATATCCAAGTAAATATTTAAATACATTTTATGGACCAAGAGAGGAATCATAATGGAAATTAAAAAACATTATAAACTATACTTCACACCTATCAGAATGACTATTTTTTTTAAGTTGTTTTAGTAACTTTCTTTTTTTTAAGATTTTATTTATTTATTTTTAGAGAGGGAAGGGAGGGAGAAAGAGAGAGAGAGAAACATCAATGTGCAGTTGCTGGGGGCCGTGGCCTGCAACCCAGGCATCTGCTCTTACTGGGAATTGAACCTGCGACACTTTAGTTCGCAGCCCGCGATCAATCCAAGAATGACTACTATTAAAAGAAAAAAACCTGAACAGAAAATAGTGTACTGGGGAGTGTGTGGAGGAACTGGAACCCCTGGGCATCGCTGGTGGGAATGTAAAATGGTGCAGCCACTATGGAAGACAGTATAGCAGTAGCTCCTTGAAAAATTAAATATAGAGCCCAGGCTGGTGTGGCTCAGTATATTGAGTGCCGGCTGGTGAACCGAAAAGTCGCTGGTTTGATTCCCAGTCAGGGTACCTGTCTGGGTTGTGGGACAGGCCTCCCAGCTGGGGGCGCAAGAGGCACCAATCTATGTTTCTCTGACATGTTGATGTTTCTTTCTCCCTCCCTTCCCTCTCAAAATAAATAATTAATCTTTAAAAAAATTAAATATAGAATTACCATACAGTACAGCCAATCTACTTCTAGGCATATATCCAAAAAAATTGAAAGCACGGTCTCTAGCAGGCACCTGTGCAGCCATGTTCGGAGCAGCACTATTCACAACGATTAAAGGTGGAAGGAGTCCCAAGTGTCCGCTGACCGTGCATGGGTCAGTCAAACGTGGCATATTAACACACATACAGCGGGATATCATCAGCCCCAAAAAGGGAAGGAAACTGCCCTGGCTGGTGTGGCTCAGTGGATTGAGCGACAACCTGCAAACCAAAGGGTCATGGGTTCGATTCCCAGTCAGGGCACACGCCTGGGTTGCAGGCCAGGTTCCCGTGTGGGGGTGTGCAAGAGGCAACCATGCATTGATATTTCTCTCTTTCTCTTTCCCTTCCCTTCTCTCTAAAAATAAATACAATCTCTAAAAAGAAAAAGGAAGGACATTCTGACATGTGCTACACTGCAAACAAGCCCTGAGGGCTCAGTGAAATAAGCCCAGACACAGAAGGACAAATACGTGTGATCCCACTTGTCCGAGGCTGTCCAGTCAAACCGCAGCAACAGGAAGCAGAGGGGTGGTTGTCAGGGCCCGCGGCAGGGGCAGATGGGGAAGCGTTAAAGGGCATAAAAACATTCCGGAGATGGGTTGCACAATAATGTAGAAGGATGGAACTCTACTAAACTGTATTTTTTAAAATGGTTAAAACACTAAATGTTATGTATGTGTATTTGAAATACAACTTTAGAAAACGAGATACAAGTATGTGCAGAGCCGCATCAGGGAGATTTTAGCCTGGTTAAAATCTCCAGGTTAAAACACTCACGGGTTACCTACTTGCAAAGGGGGAACGGCACCACTAGTGGGGCGTGGCCGGGGAGCGGCCCCTTTAGCCATGCATCAGTGTCAGCTTGACGCTGTACCACGCGCCTCGTGGCCGGCTCGAGGCTCTGTCGGCTACACCTGTTTCACCCAAATCCGAGCACAAAAACGACGACACGAATTCAACTGCAGGGCGTCTTTATAAGGTAGCTGGACGGAACCTGCCACGAGTCCATTTTATAAAGAACAAAAAAACATTAAGGCATCTCCTGTTCTAAATTAAAAAGGGCTACAGAGATGTAACAATTAAATATACAACCCGTGCGTGCTGTGTCTACAGAGAAATAGAACTTGCAAATGTTCTACCCTGATGAGGGGTATTATGGGTACTTATATTACAATTCTTTAGGTTTGAAAATTCCCTTTACAGTTTCGGGTGGGTGAGGAGGTACAGCTGAACACTCATGAGCTAAGCACCCAACCGAAAAGGTCAGAAAACCGCAGGACAGACCCAAAGGGAGCATATGAGTTCAGGGGAACAGAACAAGAGCAGGAATTAGATAAAAAGAAGGAAGCTGACAATGACGAGGAATGACAACACAGAGTTGGTATTTGAAAGAGACTAATAACTAAACACCCGCTGACACTACAAACATAAGGCCAGTCTACACATGATTCTGTGCCAACAAATTTAAACCCATCGGTAAAAAAAAAATGAGGAAATGTGAAAACATTGTTCCTTGAAAGTATAGCTGATTCGGGAACAGAAACCTGAGCAATCCGTCATCAGTAACGACCTGGAGTTGAAAGTCCCCCCACCATTCCCCAAATGCCAAGCATAGCGGGTTTTACAGTAAGTGTTCCCAGAAGTGTTAGGAGTGCAAAATTCCAACCTTCTACGAGCATGTGGAATGCAGATAAAGACTCAAGAACACCCTCCAAGTCATGTCAGGAGGTGCCGCCACCGCCACCCGGACAGAGAAACCAGACAGGGGCCGTCCAGGAAAGGGGGAGCTCAAGCCATCTCCCCCACGAACCTGGATGCCCAAACCCCCAATGTCAAAAACCAGCTCCAGCAATACACTGAAAAGCACGTCACGACTCTCTCACTGCAGGGCTGCAAGGGTGTTCTGACGGCAGAAACCGTGTCGAGCGGTCTCGCCACATTCACAGACTGGAGGAGAAGATCCACGCGGCAGCTCGGAGGGCCAAGCGCACTCCTCGGCGCACACACGGGGCGGGGCAGAAGCAGGTTTCCGTTGTTCGCACGGAAGGTAATGCAATAACGAATAGGTAGTAACACGAGAACAAACTCTGTGTTTCACACACTCACAACCGTAAGCCTGCTTCTGCCCCACCTCGTGCCTGGGTGGCCGGGTGACAAGGGGAGAACGAGAGCTGGGCTGCCTGGGGGAAGCCCTAGGGGAACCAGCCCGGCTGAGACGGCTGGTCCCACAGGGGCAGAGGGGCAGAGGCCGACGGGCCACAGGTCTCAAGCCTGACTGCGGCGGGGACCAGTACTGTCGGGCAACCGGTCGCCAGGACTGTCCGCGGCAGCTGGGAGGGGGAGAGAGTGTTTAGGGCACTCAGCTCGTTCTGGGAGATCTAGTCACGCAGGGGGAGCCCACCACGGAGCTGGGAAACAGAGGTAGAGACGAGCCTCAGAGAAGGACAAAGTGGGGAAGCACGCAGAATACAAGGACTCTACTTCCCCCAGGAGCTGACTGGCTGGTAAGAGATGGAGACTCGGAGAGGAAAAGGTTTCAGGGAGCAGGGTCTACCAGGCAAGCGGCAGGCCTGCTGTGAGCTGGAGGAGAGCGCAAGGCCTGGCTTGCAGAAGCAGTGCCAGAACAGTCACTCAGAGGAGTGCTCAGAGGGAAACGTACAGCCCTAAATATAAGGAAAAACAAGACTGAAATTCAATCAATAAAACATACAACTCAGAAGCTAAAAGTGAGAAAATAAACCCGAAGAACCAGGAAAAGACTAACAAGGACATTCTGCAAAGCTAGTCCAAGAAAATACGCAGAAACCAGGACACATTCTTGCGGGTCTGATCTGCGGCTCTCTCTCGGCCACGTCCCTTTTGCTGGTGCAGGAACCAGGTCATGTGGATCAGGTGTGGCTCATCTCGCGTCCCCCAGCCCCCACCTCCCTACCCAGCTGCAGGGATTGCTCAGGAGCGGGCAAGGGACTGAGCAGAGCCAGCGGTCTTCCCGGGGATGCCTGCACCCGGAGGAAGGGACCCTTTGGAAGGACTGAGAGGAGACAGGAGTTTCCCGAGGAAAACACTTGTAGGGAGAAAGGGATCATCAGCTCAGAGGAGCAGAGGTAACTCGAGAAGTAACCGGGCAGGGAGCCCGGTGGGGTCCTGCCGGCCTGGGTCAGCTCTGCCTGAAGCTCCGCTCTTATGCCTCGGGTCGCCTCGGGTCGCCGAGCCAAGTTTTGCTTCTGCTCATTCAAATTAGATTTTGTCGCTTTATGAGTAATTTACAAAAGCCCTAAATACAAACTACGACGCATGACTTTTTGCCCCCCAAACCTTAAATGTACATCAACTATATGATTCTCCAAAAAAAAAAAAAAAAAGTGATAAAAATGGACTCAAAAAGAGAAAACTTGAATCAGAAAAAAATTAAAAGGCAAAGATCCACCCAGAAATAAAGGCATCAAGCACCGATGTTTTTTATAAATACATTTTACCAGACTTTAAAGAAACAAATCATTCCTTTCTAGAAATTCAAGCTGGAAAAAAAAAAAACAACGATGAAATGTTTCTAAACCCATTCCACATGCTAGCCTAATTCTGTTATCAAAATGCGGCAGGGCGATCAGATCGCTGAAACAAAAAGTGAAACTGGCCCAGAGACAGCTATAAAACCCCCAGCTAAATACACATTACAGAACTAAGCAGGGTTTACATCAGAATGTGAAAGCGGTTCCACATTAGGGAATGTATCAATCAGTACAGAAAATCAGTACAATAAAACACAATCTTCTGATTATCTCAGCAGACGTCAGAATTCATCACGATGTGCTGACTGGAGGAGAAACCCCCCAGTGGGCTGGAACCGGACACACCTTCGGCCCAGTGAAGGTTATTCACCAGAAACCCAGAGACGGGCTCAGATTTCTTCAGGAAACGTGAGACCCACCCCTGCCCACACAGGAGCAGATGAGGGCGCCCTTCAGCATGACGCCGGAGGTCCTGGCCTCTCCAGTCCAAGCAAAAGAAATGAGCACAAAGGATCGGACGAATCCTCCTCTAGTGGAAGATCTGACTTTTAATCAGAAAGAGAAGAGAATCAACTGAAGAGTGAATGAGAATGAGAAAACTCAATGAGATCAGTGAGGTGAGCCCACGAAGAGCGACAGCCTTCTGTAGACACCAGCAGCGGTCAGAAACGTAATTTCGAAAGACCCATTTGTAACAATAAATAACTCTTAAGAATCCTAAGACTAAACTGAACTGGAAACACTAGACACCAATATGAAGACAACACTTTGCAGAAGGACAAACATGACCTCATTTTCGGACAAGAAGACTCAGGAACCCTCGCCAGGCAACTCAATATGCCCCAATATGGTTAGAGCGTCAGCCCCAATATGCCAAGGTGGCAGGTTCAATCCCCAGTCAGGGCACATACAAAAATCAACCAATGAACGCATCAATAAATGGAACAACAAATCGATGTTCCTCTAAAAATCAGTAAATAAAAACTTTTAAAAAGATTCAAAAGTGTTAAGACAGCACTTCTCTCCATATCAAGCTGTAAGATTTAAATTCATGCCAATGAAAACCTCAACAGGACTTTTAAATGAAAACTGACAAGCCCACTCTGAAGTTCTTACGTAAAAAAAAAAAAAGAGGAAATTTTCAAGGAACAGTGGGGCAGGGAGGAGGGAGCAGTATCGATCACACTATAAAACGTGCAACAGATCAACAGATTAGAAATTTCACAGACATCCGTACATATATGCACAGGAATGCAGTTTATTTAAAAGAGGTATTTAAATTGGTGGGGAGAGAATGACCCATTCCATAGACAGTACAGGGACAAGCGGCCATCCCTTCACAAGAAAAGTTAGCCATTTCCCATAAAACATAAACACAAGCAAGTTAAAAAACACACATACGTATATATACACCTCTACCTCCTCTGGGTTTTTGTGTGTACGTAGATGTTCTGAAACATGTACATATACATACACACAAGCACATACACATACACACACATTTCAAGCTGCACTAAGCAAACAGAAGAGTGTGATGAGGAGCAGATGGAGGACAGGCCGGGGTCCCACTGAATTACAGTGGGAGGTGGAAAGACTGAAGACCCACAGGCACACTTGCGGGGTTGGTGAGGAGGGGAGAGTTCCCACCAGTGGCTACTATTTCTACTTCTTTTTTTAATCCTCACCAGAGAACATGCTTATTGATTCCAGAGAGGGAGAGAAACATCGATGTAAGAGGAACATCAATTGGTTGCCTCTCATACATGCCCCAGTGGTGGACCGAACCCGCACCCTAGGCATGTGCCCCAATCAGGAATCGAAGCCACGACCTCAGCTTACATGGCGACGCTTCCACTGACTGGGCCGCACCGGCCGGGGCTGGCTACCACTTCCTAATGACGTGTGCGCTGTGGTAACTAGCAGAGGAGGGGGATGCAGACAAGGTAAGAAGTGTTGACATGCACCTGAGTCGACCTGCTAGGCAGTGCTGAGGGCCCACCTGCAGTCTGTAATGACAAATTTAAGGTACAACCAGCGAGCCGCGCTGGCGGTTTTCTCTAACAGCGGCAGGCCCAGCAGGGACGAGTGACTGGGTTGGCCGGGGTGAGGTCCGAACAGGTGCGCACAGTGGAGGAAGACAAGGGAGTGGAGGGTGTGGGCCATGGAATCTGTGTTGCACAAGGAGGAAACTGAAGATAGGAGAATAATGGTGGGAAGGTGGTGGGGATGGAGGACGAAGATAAAAAATTTCTGCAGAGGCGGGAATTGAGCAAGTGAGCAAGAAAGCCAGGAGGCGGTGATTGCACAGGTACCCGCATTGAAAAGGTGCTGCGGTTTGTACTGATGCCAGGTGTCCAGGAACGAGGGGTGTGGGCAGCAGGCGCGGATTGGAAGACACGAGCATTGGTGATGGGAATGGAAGGAACACAGCGCTGAGTGGGCCCTTCCACGGGACGGAGGAAATGAAGATGGGCAGAAGGAAAAGACTCTACGCCAGGAGACCAACTCTCCGACGCCCGAGCGGTGGCGAGAAGGCCAACGCCAGCGCTGAGCGGTGTGGTCCAGCTGGATGAGTGACCTTCCTTAAAGGGGAAGGTCACCATTTCACTCCTGGTCAGGGCGCATGCCCAGGCTATGGGTTCAGTGGATGTGTCCCTCTCACACTGCTGTTTCTCTCCCTTCTCCCCCTCCCTTCTCCCCCTCCCCCCTCTCTAAAAATAAACAAAATCTTAAAAGGTCAATGCCAGCAATGAGGAAGAAGGGTGTATAGCCAGAGGTTAAAAAAATAAAACAACCCACAAGCGAGACGAGGTGGTTCACAAGAGGGTGGAGGAGCAGCGGTCCGAGCTGCCACGAGGGCCCAGCGACCGGGGGTGTACACGGCCGCACGGAGGTGGGCACCCCGGCAGCCACGGGTGACGGGAAAGGCAGGGGCAGCAGCTCACGAGGCACTGTGAAGTCATCCTGAGCGTTTCTGAGAGGTAACAGGGACCAGGCCCTATGGCTGTGATCCTGGATCCGTGCGGACTGCGAGCAGGCAAGAAAGTGGGACTGTCTGTCCCCAGCTATGATATACACTCCAGGAGGGACAGCATAAGGCCTGACACTTACTGGGAACCCGCCCCTTACTAGGTGCCCAGTGAGAAGAGAGCAAGAACCCGGAAAAGACTGCGGCCATTCCCCACTTCCTGCTCGCTCGGCCCACATGCCCACGCAGCCTCCAACTCAAGCTCAAGGGGAAACCTTTAACGTCACCACAGGCCCCTCCACCCCAGAGAGCCACTCGGACACCAGCACGCGTCGTCACCCGCCAGGGGTTTAATTCTCCTAGGTCGGAAGGCCAGTTCAGAGAGGGGTCCTGCCTCGTCCCCACCCGGGGGGGAGAGCTGCAGAGCGCCCTGGAATGTCCGAGCTCAGAGGGGCCGAGGACCAGTCTCTGAGCACGAGGAGAAGTGGGTCCTGGGGTCTCAGGCTGCCTCCTCCTCCTCCTCGCTCTCCTCCTCACTCTCGTGGTACTGCCTGCGGTTGGTGTTCACGAAGAGGTCGGAATCGTCTTCAGAGCTGGACTCGTCTCCTGATGACTGCGGCTCAGCTGGGAGTTCTGGCTGGGTCTGTCTTCATGGGGGAAAAAAAACAGAGTTAGCGCGATGCCTTCTGGGAAAGCCCCACCTGCAGTCAAGAAGCCTCAAAAAAAAATAGGGCCCCTAGTCCAAGCAGTCAGGGCTCAGTGAGTCAGACAGAGGCAGAATGAGAGCAAAAAGCAGAAAAACTCAGCCAAAGGAATCAGGCTAAAGACCACCCATCCCCCCACCTCAAAAGTTTACTACAGTCAATGCTTTTCATAGTAATGACTCTGATACCAATATGCAATGGACCCACAATGCGTGCCAGAGACTATACTAGCAATTCTACAAGCTCCTATAGTCCTCGTGAGGCTCCCATTTTATAAGGAAGGAAACCCAGGCTTAAGAGATTAAGCAGCCTGCTTAAAGCCCAAAAGTGGGAAAGCCCGGATTTTAACCCACAGCACCTAACTTTCAAGCCATGTGTACTGACACCCATGTAGGCGCTCTAACCAGGGAGAAAGGCAGGCTCTACCTCCCCCTCTAGGCACTAAAGCCGGACGCCCTGTTTGCTGTCTTCCCTACCCCACAGCTCCATCCTAACCTGTTCCTGCTGCTGTTGTGTTTCTCAGCCACTTCAGAGAAGGCCTCGGGCCTGTGTCAAGAGAAGAGCCAGGGTCAGAGGGAACAGAGAAAGCTCTCAGCATAAACACTGTTTCCAGCTGCCTGCGATGCCATGATCTTCCTCCTCCAGTTTCACCACTAGGAAGTCAGTGCCCCCAGAAATCAGCCAACCAATGACCAAGGGGACCACCTACCAGAGCCCCTCCTTCTGCAGAGAGCGCACATGGTCTTTGCAGAGCACAAACGAGATCTCAGCCTTCACCTTTTCTCCCTCTTCAATAGGGTCAACAATGAGAAAGTCCCCTGCAGGCAGAGAAAAAGCGCAGTCAATCCAGCTCGCAGTGGCAGCAGCGGAGGCCGAGGTCCCAGGGAATGGTTGCAGCTCCTGGAGGGCCGTCTCTCTCACCTCTCTTGATCCAGATGTTCTTGCGGTACTTGGAGGGCATGCTCACCAGGAAGCGCTGCCCCTGGGCTGTCTCCACTTCGTGCAGATTGTTCCCCGGGGTCCTGAGTACCTGATCCAGGAGACCAAGAGCCAGTGAGCCTCAGCAGCCAGCTCACAGACTCAGTGAGCTGCGCTGCACCCTCCCCCCACCCTAGGGGCCCAGCAGGAGCTTGCGCCCAGTGCTACTCACCCTCACGATCTGCTGCTGGTCAGAGGGCACCATGTGCTCCCCCAGCACCTCCTTCACCACATGCTTCCTTTTGGTGGCCTGAGACATGCCGGGTCCTATCCCAGGGCGGCGAGGGACACAGAGGCCGTCGACTTTTCCTCCTGACTTTCTTGGGTGGCAGGGTGAGAATCCAGGACTGTTTTGAAGATGGGAAGGGACTGTTAGCTGAGTGACACAATGGCCTGGTTAAGAACGTGAGTTCTGAAATCTAATTGTTTGCACTGAAATCCTACCATGACTATTTCCTGTGGACAAAAAAAAAAGGGGGGGGGGGTTCTATGTAGAAGTAACCTCCCAGGGTGCTCCTAAATGGGCAGGTCATGGTGGGCGGTTGTGCCTCAGGCCTGTAACTTCTTCAGTGGAAGCTGTTTTGTTTTGTTTTTTAGGAGTTTCTTTATTTATTTTTAGAGAAAGGGGAAGAGAGGGAGAAAGGGAAGGGGAGAAATGTCCACATGAGAGAAACATCAGATGGTTGTCTCCTGTTAAGTGCCCTGACTGGGGACTGAATCGGCAACCTGGGCATGTGCCCTGACCAGGAATTGAACTGGTGACCCTTTGCTCTGACGGATGATGCCCAACCAACTGAGCCAGGGTCACTGGTCAGGGCAGTGAAAGGTTGTAAGGCAGCCAAGTAATACCCCTGGAAAGCATGACCAAGCTCAAGGAACACATAATCTTGTTAACTATCCTGTAATCCAATCCCTACCTAGCTTCCTCCTACCCTCGTGTAATCTCTTTAGCTCCCTCGATTTCAAGTGCATAAAAGAAACTGAAAAATTTCTAGAGCGCTCAAGATCTGGCTCCCTGGCATATGTTGTCAGGTTGGCTCAAATAACTCCCCCCCCCAAATTCTCTTCACGTTTGTTTGTCACGTTGGTGATCCTTGCTGTTCAACTCCTCTAGGCCTCTGAGAAAAAGAATAGCTAACCCAGAACATTGCTATTAGAATGGGATGATGTAAGCAAAGCATTCAGTACTGTGTATGACACGCAGAAATAACACGTTGTCCTAAGCACTGGCGTAATCACAAAAACTAAATCGTTCTGGCAATCGATCAAGGAGGAAAAGATAAACTGTATCTTCCTCAACATAGTTGTGCGTCCCAGAGTAGCACAGCTACACAACACAGATACACAATCTCTCAAAACACTCCAGGCAGAGGATAGTTAGGAGACCACCGCAAACGGTCCGAGCCAGGAGCGAGTTCAGTAAAGGGCGAGGTGAGCCGCCTTGGTTTAAGGTATCTGCTCTATTTGACTTGGGTTCTCAAGATGATAAGGACTCGCACCGCCAAGACTGGTGGTTTTCAAAAGAAACTCCAAAGTGCTACCGCTAGCTGCCGTTCCCGGCCTTCGTCCCTTCCCTACCACGGAGGAAAGGTGCCCTGAGAGAGACCCACACTTACTTTCTGACCCCTTTCTCCCGCGGGCGCTGCCTGAACGACCCCGTTCTCCAGGCTGGACGCCGGGAGCGGCTGGCTCACGACTCACTTCGCAGCCGAGCGAAGCCGAAAGCTCAGAAAAGAAACTTGCCGGCTGTCACAACGGTGGAGTCGGCTTAGACTCAGGTGCCGGTTCCTGCCCCACTCTTAAAAGCTCGATTGAGACGAGGGCGACACGAGTCGGCCTAAGTCGGACCCTTCCGAGCACCGTACTTCCGGCGCTCTGCGGTAAGCCTCCGGCCACACTTCTTCCGGCTTGTCCGTCCCTCTAACTCTTCCCTCCGCCAGGCCGGCCAAGGCTAGGTCCTTGAGTTCCGGACTTCGTGCAGTGGGGAAATGAAGTTTTCTCCACAGAGGTTTCTGCTTTCTGAGACCGAAACGCTGCCCGAGAACCGAGACTATACAAGGGACCCCGGCTTCCCGCGAATGGACCGGAAGGGGGCGCCTAATAAGGTCACGGTCGAGGTCCAGAGCGCCTCATCTCTATGGCTGTAAGGGGCTAGAAGTACCAAATTTAACTTTTTAGGCGGCTCTGGAGGCGACCCGGAAGCGGAAGTGGAAGAAAGTTCTAGTGGGTTGAGGTATTAGCGGGAGCAGCCGGGCGGCGGGAGGAGCCGTTACGGGAGCTGGAGCTGTCGGTGAGTGCCAGGCGCGGAGCAGGACCTGGCTTGGAGAACAGTGGAGGTGCACGGAGGAGGAGCGGAGAGAGGGGTCGCAAGCGCTGCGGCCGGCCGAGGGATGGGCCCTCCAAGAGGGCGAGGCGGCGGGACCCGGCGCGTGGGCGCGGCGGCGCGTGGAGGGGTCGGGGCGGGGCTGGCGGGGCGGGGCTGGCGGGCGCGGCGGGAACACAGGCGTGGACCCGGCCGGGCTGGGAGTAGGTGGACGCGTTCTGGCCTGCGTCCGTGGGCAGCCTGTGGGGCGAGTGGGACAGGGAGACCCTTTGTTTGCTTTTCAGGCCAGGTAGCTGTTCCGGGCTGTGTCAGTGCCTTCTTTTGCCAGCCAAGGTCACAGAGGGTGTGACACTTTCAGGATGAGCCCTGAATGCCGACTGGGAATTTCCCCACTGCCCTGCGCGCGCCACCTGATAGGGCGGGATAGTCTTTCCTCTAGAGCAGTCCAAAATGTACCTCCTGCAGGGAGTCGAAGAGATTTCTTTCTCGAGCAGTGGGGGAGACTCGCTTTGGCTCTCAGTTTTCTTATCTGTGAAATGAGGGGTGTCGAGTGGGCACCCTAATGGCTGGTTTCGCTTCCTCTGAATAATAGGAGATTTGGACTGGTGGGCCTTTGGGACCTCCCGGGTTTTCAGCCCTAACCTACCGTTTCTTGGGATACCCAGGTAAACCCTGAGCAAGATGACCACCTCCCAAAAGCACCGAGACTTCGTGGCAGAGCCCATGGGGGAAAAGCCAGTGGGGAGCCTGGCCGGAATTGGCGAAGTCCTGGGCAAGAAGCTGGAGGAAAGGGGCTTTGACAAGGTGTGGGTGGCTGCGTGCAGCTGGGGAGGGCTGGGGTGGCCGACCGCGGTATCGCAGGGCAGCTTGGGAGTGGGGAAGTGAGTTGACCTGTTGGGGGTGGGCAGTGATACGTAGTCTGGAGAGAGAGCGGGGGCGGGCCCTGCCTCCTAGGCTCCTGTGCTTTGAACTGCGCGGAAGTGGCCTCCTGGTTCTCAGTCTCAGAGCACTGAGCCGCCCGTCCTGTACTTTGCCTGTGTTGCAGGCCTACGTGGTCCTTGGCCAGTTTCTGGTGCTAAAGAAAGATGAAGACCTCTTCCGGGAATGGCTAAAGGACACATGTGGCGCCAATGCCAAGCAGTCCCGGGACTGCTTCGGGTGCCTTCGGGAGTGGTGCGACGCCTTCTTGTGATGCCCTCTGGGGAGCCCCCGACCCCTGACCCCAGCGTTGAGTCTCCGGAGTTCGCAGCTGAGCGGGGGCTCCTCCCTCGTCCTCTACAAAGGAAACAGTTGCTGTCTACTCACCTCCGATATCCTCCAGGGTCTTTGTGGGAGTTCTCTCCCCTCACCATTTCAACTTTTTTGGGATTCTTGCTCTTGCATGCGTCTCCCTTCTCCTTCCCCTCCCAGTTTCAGGTCGATAATTATTAGCTTTTCTGAGTGGATTCCCGGTTCCCTCCCTCACCCCCACCCTCACCTCTGGTCTGTTTTATGCCATTTGGCTTCTCTTTTGACAGAACCGTCACTGTCCATACAAAGTTTTTTGAGTCAATAAAGTCAGTGGCCTTCAAGACTGGGCTCTGTGGGTTGACAAGCAGCTGGGTTGGGAGTCGCCTCGTCCCTGCAGGCAGACAGGTCTGCCGCACTCCTTATCAGCACAGATCGAAACTGGCAGCTTCCTCCTCACTCTGGAGGACAGCCACCCTGGCTGCACAAACCTCGGACAGGTGCCTTGGAGTGTCTCAATCCCTTCGTAATGTGGGAGAGTGTGGGTTAGCCCCTTCCTGGGATCCAGATGGGCTGTGGCGTTCCAGATGCCAGTTGAGTCAACAGCTGGGCTAGGCAGCACCTGATGGAAAACTCAGTGGGAGTCGAAGGTACCAGGAAGGGGTGGGGCCCAACGTGGGTAAAAGTTCAACTGATTGCTGTGTGCTCTCCCGGCCTCTGGGAGGAGCGGGCAGGACTCTTGCCCTGCTACCTGAGCGAGGCAGAAGAGCACAGGTATCACGGGGGGGCGGGGGGGGGTACCCTTTCGCCTGGTACACTTGTGTCCTCTTCTTGGTTGAGCACTTAGTGAACCAGGCCCATAGCTAAGATTTTTGCAAACACTCTAATTCCACGATAATAAGTAGGCGTTTCCTCTTCCACAGGTGAGGAAACTAGGGGCTCAGAGACCAGCAAGTAATATGTTCATGGACTTGCTGGTGGGAGGCACCAGAGCGGCCCTCAGACAACTTGGGAACGTGTACCTGAGAGCCCCGTGCTCCTTGGTCATGAGCCTCAGTTTCCCCACTTGGAAAATGAAAAGGAGGTTGTTGCAGTGATCAGAGGGGATGCTAGCTGTGCGGCACCCAGCCCAGCTTGGCTTTCAGTCCGTCAGTACAGCAAGAGGAACTACTTGCTTACAGAATTTTCCTGTGTCAGCAGAGCTTGAATGTCAGGTTCTTGAGTCTCATTGTCATAGAAATGAGCACTGAACTCAGTATGAGATCGAGCAGATAGCGTTTATTAAAAAGAGCTTGCCTCCCTAACGGGTGTAGCTCAGTTGGTAGGGCATTGGCCCGCAAATCAAAAGGTCACCAGTTGGGATGCAAATGAAGGGCTGCTGATCAACGTTTCTCTCCCTTTCTCCCTCCTCTCCCCTCTCTAAAAATAAGTAGTTATTTTTAAACGTGAAAAAGTTGGTGCACAAGAGAGCTAGCCAGAAAAGAGAAGGCGAGCTCCCCAGCGGGTTCTCGTGGACGGGTTACACTGGGGCCTCGGGGTGGGCGTAGGGCTCGGAAATGCCGGCGAGGCCGGTGTCCCCCATCGTCATCTGGCGGTGGTCGAGCGCCCAGGTAGTCACAGGTGTGTGCCACAGTCAGCGGGTCACTCAAGGGACCTGTGAAACAGTGCACACACAAATACTGTAGTGGCCATTTGACCAAGTAACGATTTTACAGAATACCGATGTTAAGGGTGTCACAGCACTGGATACTAACCGAGCTATCTGTGTCCCGGCCTTGCGTCAAAGGCTTGGGATGCGTCGTGATAGCTGGGTTCAAGAAGTGCAATATTAAAACAAAAGCCATGAGGTCTTAAGCCCAGCGTGTAAAGACACACACTGAGTTATAACTCAGCGGCACAGCCAGAAAAGAAAAAGGCAAGGATGTTGTGGTTGGTTGCGCCCTCTTTCCCCGAAAGGCGTGGCTAGGTTCATTTCAGCTCCAAGATGTGACAGAAAGCAAGGAGTCACAGTCAGGCCCCTCGCCTGAGTTCTTTCCATCAGGGTGGAGTCCGCTTGCGACCCCCTGCACGGTCCCGGGAGGCTTACTGTCTGGTGAGGAGAGGCTGGCATATTCAGTACAGAAACGGGCAATGGGAGAGAGTCTCACGGTCTCAGCAGGGAAAAGTAGGGAGAGAAGGTTGATCAATTCTACTGCATTGACAGAAACTTTCTCCAAAGGTACCACCCACAGGCGAAGGGCACCACTCACCCGGAGCGGGCAAGGGCGCCTGCAGCGCAGAGACCGTGGGGGCTCTGTCCAGAGCGCGTGCGGGACTGCGGTGCAGGGAGGGGGCCGGACGGGGAAGCCTGGTGAGGGCCTGGGAGGCAGCCCCAGGGGACACCCCAGTGCAGGGCAAGCCCACGAACAGACTCGGACTCGAAGTGCGAGTGAGGGGCGGCGTGCTGGTGAGGGAGTGGCGCACGGGAGCCGACGGGAATGCCCACTGGTGCGAACGCCGGGGGGAACGGTCGGGTGTTTTCTCGTAAAACTGAAGTCCCACCCTGGGGCCCAGCAGCTCCACTCCCGCGGGGCTGTGACCGAGGACCAGCGCGGCTGCTCCAGCACCCGCCTGCGCTGTGACACCAGCTCTGTAACAGCCCCGACTGGAGCTGCTAGTGGCTGTGACACCAGTGAACATGAACTTGCTGCCACACAAGGGTTGAATCTCAAAACGTCAAGTAGTGTGCTTCCATTCTTGGACAGTTAAGTAAATTGTGGCTTGGGGATCTCTGTGAAGGTGGTAAAAGGAGAAAAGCTTGTTGCGGAAGTCAGCGGTGACTGCCTTCGGGCAGGGGCGAGGAGCGGGGCAGCCTGGGGGCGGCGGCGGCGGCAGCCAGCACGGGCACTGACCGATCGTTCAAGGAACCCGTGTCCTGTGCGCTCTTCTGTGTGTCGGCCGCACCTGGGAACAGGAGACGAAGAGAAGGGAAACGAGAGAGACCCGGGGGGGGAGGGGGGCACGCGTGCACGCAGCCGGGAGCTGGCGGTGGTGCGCAGGGGAGAGGCCTGAGTGCAGGGCTGGCTCTGGGGAGTGTGGGCGGCCCCTTGGAAGGGCACCAGCTGGTCGGCAGGGCCCGGCTCGCGTTACAGGCCGCTTGCTGGGAGTGCGCCAGCGTGAAGCACAGACCCAGGTGGAAATAGGGGCTGTCCCAGGAGCCTCGGGCCGTGCTGTGTTTCTGATGCTCTCCTGGGTGTGTCCAAGTGCACTTCAGAGTCCCCTCAGCCTTGACCCTTGTACTGGGATGCTGCCCCGCAAGCCTAGTGTCCTTGGAGGCAGGGGGGGGTGGTGTCGGTGCCCAGCAGGGCCACAGCTTCTCCCCATCCGAGTCCTGATCCTGCCCGGCTGTTGTCGGCACTCCCTGAGGTGTTCCTCCTCCTCGACGCCCTCACCTGGCACCTGCCCACGCTCGTTGCCCGGCGCTGCTGCCCTTGGCTCTGGCGCTGGGGCCCGTCTGCCGGAACTGTGGGACGCGCTGCCTGCCCCGCGCGGTGGTGGGCTCTCCCTGCCTCACCCGCAGGCTCTGTCTCTGAGCAGCTGGAGCCGGTTTCTCACCGCTCCCTCGGGGCCCAGGCAGACCTGTGACGGCTCGGAAAGGCCCAAACCCTGTGTCTGGGCCGCTGAGTCCGTCCCACACAGCTTCCTGGGTCAGTCCCAGGGCAACAGGAGACTCGGCGTCTAGAATGTGCGCTGTGCCACTGGCCTCTCAGAGACACAGCCCCAGCTCGGCCGGCAGCCGGGGTGTCGGAGGAAGCGGACACAGGTGGGGATGGGGGGTGGGGAGAAACGAGCTTATCTGTCAGCCCACACGGCCCAACGGGCCTGCTTTGTTGGCAGGCACAGGTGGGCCTGCGAGTTGACAAGTACTGACTCAGTGTCATTGTCCCACCCACACCCTGCTGCCCCTGCGCCCAGCCAGAGCTTGGCCCCCTCAGCCAGTGTGGTGTGAGTGTTCAGACCTGGCCCAGCGCCCTCGGGTCCTGCGGGGGTCCTGCCACCCCTGGAGAGGAAGTAGGGGAGGCTACAGGGCGAACCCCAGCCCACCGCATCGGCCCAGTGGCAGCCCAGACAGTGTGAAGGCTCGCAGTGTGGGTGCTGGTGACTGTCAGCCCCCCTTTCACGTTGCCCCCTCCCTGCAGGGGCCAGGACTCCTGACCTCGAGGGGTCGTAGCCTGAAAGAGCAGCTGGGTCCAGGTCTGGTCTCCGTTCCTCCTTTGGTCCCTGCAGCCTGCAGCGAGGTGCCTCGCTGCCCTCGGCCCCCACTCAGCGGTGCGGGGGGGTGGGGGAGTGAGGATGCAGCTCTCCCTGCTGCAAAGTCACCCTTCCAGGATGGGGTCAGGCGGGAAAGGGGAGCAGAGCCCTGGGGTAAGGGATAAAGGTTAAGGGTTCAACGAAGAGGGTTTCAGGGGGTCAGCATGAAGCCCCTTGGTGGCCTGACCCTGGGGTGAAGGGAGTGTCGAGGGCCCACCCTGGTCAGTGAGACCCATTGGCCAGGGCCAAGGGAGTGGCCCCTTGGGCACCGTGGGCTGCAGCAAAACTGGAGGCCCTGTGGCCAGTGGGGCTGGCCAGCCTTGGGCTCACACCTGGCTGGGGCCTCCTGGAAGCCAGAGTGGTCCTTCAAGGGTCAACGGGCTGGAGCCCGGCCCTGGGAAGCCCTCCTGCGGTGGAAACCACCTCCAGGGGTTTGCGCCTGCACCGCAGGCCTCGTACTCCGGTGGAGCAGTCTGGGACTGACACACTGGGATGCTGGCCCTTGGGTGCCACCCCGGACCCGCGCCCCCCCGCCGCCCCCACTGACCTGCTTTAACCTCTAATTTCTTCCCTGTAAAAAGAGGAAATGCCACCTCTGCAGAGCTGCTAGGAGGATGAGCGTGCCAGTGTTGAGTCCCTGGCACGTACCAGGAGTTCAGTGGGTGTCCGTTTCCCTCCCCCCACCCCTCTTTTCTCTCCAAGACCCTGCTTCCAGCTGTGTGACCTCAGACAAGATGTCCTCACCTCTCTGGTTAACTTTCTTCATCTGCAAAATAAAGGTGATGCTTACTACTTTGTGCTGCTTATGAGAATAGACCAGGGGGAAAGTCTTTGCTAATTGTTGGGTTGGGGTGCAGGAGACTCGGCATCACCCAAGTGTCGCAGGTTTGATTCCCAGCCAGGGTACATGCCTGGGCTGCAGGCCATGACTCCCAGCAACCGCACATGGATGTTTCTCTCTCTCTCTCTCCCCCTCCCTTCCCTCTCTAAAAATAAATAAATAAAATCTTAAAAAAAAAAAAAAAGACTCGGCATCAGCACAGAGGAATGGCAGGTAGGTGGGGGGGCCCGGCCTCCGCTGGTTTCCCGGGAGTTGTCGGGGGTAAGTGTGGCCGTGGCTGAACTCCAAGTGACGTGACAGCAGACCTGGGACAGCCAGAGGGGGCTCCTGGCCCCTTGGGGCTGCCCCTTCCTTTCCCTGGGCCTCTTATTCCCCCTCCTGCTTCTCTCAGGTCAGGTTCCTGCCCCTCCTCCCCAAACCCACCTCGAGCCAGCCAGCGGCTCTCTCACAGACTGGGGTCTGTCCCTAAGGCAGGCACCTGGGCCCACAGCAAACGTGACAGTCCTTGGGATCCCAAGATTGTTTTCACAGCTGGGAAGAGAGGGTGGGGCAGCTTCCAAACTAGGCAGTGACCGCACTCGGTACTGGAAGATGCTGGATGCTTAGTCACTGATCACGGTACGGTTGGCCCTTGAACACCGATGGCCACCCCAAACTACTAGCTCTCTACTGACCAGGAACCTTCCCAATAACAAAACAGGCCATTCACACATGTCTATGTTGTATGTATTATACCCTGTATTCTAACACTAAAGTAAGCCAGAGAAAAGATGTTAAGAAAATCATGAGCCCTGGCTGGTATGGCTCAGTGGATTGAGCACCTGCCTGTGAACCAAAGGGTCGTTGGTTCGATTCCCAGTCACGGCACATGCTTGGGTTGCAGGCCAGGTCCCCAGTGTGTGTGTGTGTGGGGGGGGTGCGTGAGAGGCAACCACACATTAGTGTTTCTCTCCCTCTCTGTCTTCCTCCCCCTCCCCCCTCTCTAAAAATAAATAAATAAAATATTTAAAAAATAAAACCTCAGAAGTGGCAGCATTAAAAAAAAATCATGAGGATACATTTACAGTATTTCTTCAGGGGGGGGGGACATGCATAAGTGGACTCATGCAGCCCAAACCCCTGTCACTCAAGGGTCAGCTGTAGTAATGACCACTTACCCAGCACGGACTGTGTGTCACACCCGATAAACCACTGCCTCTGCCAAGGCCGGGTGCAGGTCCTCGACCCCAAGCACTGACTGGACCTTAGTGTCCCACGGGCAAAAGGCCTGCTTCCCCCTGCCACGGGGTGCAGGGTGGGTACCGTGCTCCCAGCCAGACACAGGGAATCCCAGCAAAGTCCGGGCTGCGTCATGCTCACCTCCATACTGCTGTGATGTTACCAGATTGTTCCACCCCTGCAAGAACTACAGTGCCCTGTTCTGCTGGTACTTCCAGCCCACGCCCGGCTTCCCTGCGAGTGACCCAGTCTTGGGCCGGTTATTAATAGAACAACCCTGAAAGGGATTAGTCGTCCCCTTCGGATGAGGGCACTGAGGCTCTGGAAGCTCGAGGGGCTTGTCAGAAGTCACCCAGCTAGTAAGGGGCAGAGCTGCTATGACAAACCCTTCTGGCCAGTTATCATGCTTTGGTCTCGGTGTGGTGCAAGGGCGAAGGTTTGAGTGGGACTGTTGGGGCTCAAACGCCAGCGCCACTGTTTACTGTTCACCCTCCGGGGCCCTGGCAGGTCGCTAGTCCCTGGCGGCCTGTGTCCTCTGCTGTTGAGTGGGACGTAGATTCCCTCCTCCTGCCGGCTGCGAGGGTCACACAGCGTCCAGCGCAGCACAGCCACGTCCCTGCCTACCTGCTGTTCACACGGTGCCCTGCCTGCTCCGAGCACGGTGCCCGTGGGGTCCTCACAGCGCCCCATTTTACAGAGGAGCAAGCCGAGGCAGTGACGGGTCAAGTACATTCTCCGAGGTACTGTCAGTGCATTGGGCGGTAGTAAGAACTTGCTCACAGCTGCCAGTATTTCGGACTGAATGGGCCTCCTGTGAACCGTCCCGGCACTTTTTGCGGGTGAATGCCACTGTCCTTTCCTTCACAGGACTGGGTGTGTCCCGGAAGGCAGGGCAAGAATCGTGGCGCAGAGGTGTGCTGGGAAGGGGTCCTTGCCAACCTGGGCAGCCCAAGCGATCTGTCCGTAAGCGGGGGCGCCCGGCAGCCGCGGGGCGGGGCGGGGCGGGGCGGGGCCGTGTGTGGTTGGGCGGGGCCTCGGAGTCCTGAGCCCTTAAAAGCCGGCGGCGCCGGGTAGCCAGGCACTGACGACTATGGCGCATCCTAACACCCCGCGGACGCTGGGCCTGGCCCTGCTGGCGTTCTGCCTCCTGGCGCTGCCCCACGACACCGGGGCCCGGCCAGGGGAGACCTTCGTCGGAGGACGGCAGGACCTGGAGCTCAACGATCCGCAGGTGCAGAAGGCGGCGCAGGCGGCCGTGGCCAGCTACAACATGGGCAGCAACAGCCTCTACTACTTCCGAGACACGCGCATCCTCAAGGCGCAGAGCCAGGTGCGGCTGGGCCCACGGGACGGGGGGCCGTGGGACTGAGGCGAGGGAGGCGCCAGGTTAGGGGAGAGTCACAAGAGTAATCAGGATATTCTAACACAACATTTTTAAAAAAGGTTTTATTTTTAGAGAAAGAGGAAGGGAAGGGGAGAGGGAGAGAAACATCAATGTACAAGAGATACATCCATTGGTTGGTACTCGCCCCCCCCCGCTGCAGCTAGGGACTTGGCCCACGACCCAGGCGTGTGCCCTGACCAGCATCCAACCCGTGACCTTTGAGTTATTCGTAGGCCAGCGCTCAATACACTGAGCCACACCAGCCAGAACACACACATTTTTTAAAATAAAATTTTAAAAACTAAAATTCATACCAAACATTCACAATGAACAAAATACCTACATTTCCGATAGACAGAATCCAACCCTGACCGTGCACAGCTGTTTCGCCGGCCTCACACTAGTCCCTGCCCTGCCCTGCCCTGCCCAGCTGACTGGGCGGGGAGGCCATGGGCTTCGGGGTGGCGTGCACCCTTGGGTCAGCCCCCCGCCTGGCCTGGACTCTGGCCTACTTCCCAGGGACCCCGGCCGGGATGGGCCTGTCCCCCCACTACCCCCGTGTCTGATGCTGGTGTGCCCAGGGGACGGGGAAGGGGAGTGGGAGACTGGAGAAGGGTGCGGGGTCTGGGTCAGGGGTACTGTCCCGGCACGTCTGACCTGCCTCTGCCCTCCGCCCCAGCTGGTGGCTGGCATTAAGTACTACCTGACCGTGGAGATGGGGAGCACAGCCTGCCGGAAGAATGCGGTGACAGGAGACCACATGGACCTCACCACCTGCCCCCTGGCCGCAGGAGCGCAGGAGGAGGTAACGTCCCCGCAGCCCCAGGCCCTCGGGCTGGCCAGCCTGAACGAGTCTGGCCGGCCAGGCGGAGCCTCTCCCAGCCTCCCGGATGACTCAGCCCCGGGTTGGGGCGGCCCCGCGGGCAGAGGACACTGGGGCTTCCGCAGCGAGTGAGCGCGCTGACTAGGAGGACCAGGGATCTGTCTCTCATCCCCTGAGCCAGTGACGGCCCCTCATGGTGGGCCCGGGCCGACTGTCGGGAGGAGGCAGGCCTGGACCCAGGCTCACCCCTCCTTCTCTTCCCTTGCTCTGCCTGCAGACGCTGCGCTGCGACTTCGAGATCCTGGTGGTGCCCTGGGAGAACTCCTCCAAACTTCTAAAGCACCACTGCGTGCCCGTGTAGTCGGCCCTGCAGTCGGCCCGCCCCTGTGGCCATGGGTGTGGGAGGGAGCGGGGCCATCGGTGGAGGGCACTTCCGGTCAGTGGGCCGCATGTTGCAATAAACTGCTAGCATTGCTCCTTGCAGTCATCTCTTCGGGGTGCTTCGCTCCGCCCTCGCGCGTCCACCGCCCCCACTCCTGGCAGCTCCCCTCCGACCCCCAGCCCAGCTGAGCTGCTGCTGGCCCAGCCCAGATGGTGCTGAGGGGTACAGGGTTCAGCCCCGAATCTGGAGTCCTTCAGGCACCCCAGGGTGACAGACACGGGAACGATGCTCCCGATTCTCAATATTCTCAGAGTTCAGGGGTGGGAGACGAAGTCAGGAGAGGGATGGCACCCCATCGGAGGGGAAAGGGTAGGAGTGGGTGAATTCTCTGGGGAGCACCTGCGCACCCCTCCCTGTCAGCCCCCAGGACAACTCAGGGTGGCATAAGAGGGAGGGGGGCGTGTAGGTCAGCCAGCACGGTCTTGGGACTCTGAGCTCTCAGCCTGTGAGATTTCTCTACCCACATGTGGCCCAGAGATGGCAGAGCCCCCGCAGGCCAACACCAGGAGGGCTGAGACAGTGACTCTCAAGGACACACCGCGGGCCACACACCAGCGCGGCTCTCCAGGGCTTTGCCCTGGGCAGGACCCCTGGAAGGGGCTGGACCAGGAGCTTCCAGGGGCTGGTGGGGTCAGATCTGCTGCCCACAGGAGGAGTAAGGGGCAGGCACAATTGAAGGAAAACAGAGTTGCAACATTTTTTTGCACATCTGAATTTGCAGCTACAATTCGTACTGCTCCCTCCCACACACACCCAGAACTCCTTAACACACTAGACACGCACATACAGAGAAACCCAAAGCACACACTTGGGTGCACCCAGACACCACACACACATCCAGAAAAACACGGACACAACCTAGCAACCCAGAAGCACAGACGCACACACGCGGACACACCCCCACCTAGAAACCCCCCGGGGATGCACACGCGATTCCCAAACACGGTGCCAGAGACCCACACGCTCCGCCCAGGGCTGTCCGACACCCACACCTGGGACGGGGGGGCGGCGACCGATTCCTTGGGAGCACTAGGCGTGGACACCGTCAAGCCCAGGCAGGCAGAACGCGGTGGCTGTGGAGAGCACCGCCACCCCTGCCCGCTGGCTCCTAACAGGCAAGGACTCACACCGGGGCTCCCAGCCCTGGGCAGGGACCTGGTGAGGAACAGTCCCAGCGCCCAGGCCCTGCCCTCTGCCTTAAAGGCCACCTGCCTTAGAGGAGGGGACCGGGAAGTGTAAAGTAGGTGTGACTTGTACGTGGAAGACGGATGAGCCGGGTTTGACCAGAGTGAGGGCTGCAGGAGAAACTTCCGGTCCCGCCGCTTCTGCTCCAGCCTGTCGGATGCTGCAGCTCAGACGCACCAGGGGCAGGTGGCCGGGGCCACTGTTGGGGAGGGCTCCCACGTGTCACCGAGCAGGAGTTCCCAGCATGCAGCCGGCACAGGGAGGGGGCAGGAAATGCTTGTTGAATGAATGTGTGAGGTGGTGGAGTGAGGCGAGGCCTGGAGACACCTACCAGATGGCCTCTCCGCCAGGTGGCCCAAACCCCAGATGGCATGTCCTCTGCACGGCCATCCCTGGGCCCCGGGCCAGCCAGTGCCCACACCAGGCCAGAGGGACGGGGAGGTGCTGCTCCTGTTCTGGGGCCTGGAGCCTTCGCCACTACCTGTCCAGCGTAGAGGTGCAGGGGTGGTTGGGAAAACTGTTTGCCCCACCCTGGAGTCCCACTCCTGACACCCTCCAGCCTGTGCTGCGTGACGGCTTCACTCTGCCAGAGGTGAGGTGGGTGCTGTGGATCGTGGGAGGCCCTCCTCTGGACGGGAGCCCCCAGAGCCAGGGCTGGGCATGTGCCTGACTCGGTGCTAGATGTCCGGCGCCCAGCACAGGCCCAGGCACTTGGGGCCTTCTGGGCTCGTGACACCCCTATAGTGGACACTGCAGGTGCTGGTAGGCCTGGATTCCTGAGTGCTCAGCCCCCGTTCTGCATTCTGTGGGTTTCCTGCATCCCGAAACAGGGGGCCAGCCCTGGCTGACGTAGCTCAGTGGATTGAGCGCGGGTGGCAAAACAAAGCATCGCAGGTTCGATTCCCAGTCAGGGTACATGCCTGGGTTGCAGGCCACAGCCCCCAGCAACCGCACATTGATGTTTCTCTCTCTCTCTCTCTTTCTCCCTCCCTTCCCTCTCTAAAAATGGATGAATAAAATCTTAGAAAAAAAACAACAAAAAAACAGGGGGCCTGTTCCCGCCAGTTGTTTCTCTCCTGACTCCCGGGCCAGAGACGGCTTCCTCCCCGAAGCAGGATGACCGCCCACTCACCCTCTGGCTCTGAGCCGGTCTACTTTCCAGCTCCCCCCGTGGAGCAACAGGCTAGGGCACGGGGCCCTGGTGGGGCTGGGAGAGGGTACGGACGGCGCCTGTCACGTGCAACACGCACACGCACACACGTGCACACACACAAGACCCCCTGCCCGCGCCCGGCCCAGCCAGTGAAGACACGGGGCCCGCTGGGCTTTCAACACTCTGTTGGGGCCCAGCCCCGCAGCCTGGACAATCGCTCCAGCGTGTCTGGGGACTTGTCCCGACCGCCCCGGTGGGCAGCGTGCCAGGGGCCGAAGTCTGTACCCGCCGTGTCCGTCCAGGAGTCACTTCCTGAAGTCCTCTTCTCCAGCCTGCGGGGCGGGGCGGGGCGGGAGGGTGGCTGAGCCGCCGGCCTCTGCCTTCTCAAGCGCCCATGGGGCTGTGGCTCAGGGCCGGCCGCTCTGGGCATGGCCCCCCACCCCCCGCCTGGCCGTCCAGGGTCCCCTACCCCGGCCCTCCCTCCTGGCCCTGCCTGGTTCACCTCAAACGCGGTGTCCACGATCTCGTCGATGACCGACGCCTGGGAGCGGAACTTCTGCTGGTAGTGCTCCACCCCGGCGGCCAGCTGCAGGAAGTGGAACAGGAGCTCCTGCTGCCTGTGGGGAGGGGGCGGAGGCGAGCCCTGGCCGGCCTGCCTGGCTGGGCCCGGGAGACGGTTCTTCTTGCCTGCCTCCCCCGCCCCCACCCATACACTCACATCGCCCTTGACCTCCGTTCCCAGGCAGGACCACAACTTTTCCGAGTGTGGCCTTGCCCCTCCTAAACCACCCCCCACCCCATCTGCCCGTACCACAGAGGGTATTCATGGTGCGTCCTCCCAACCCTCCGTCCCCTCCACCCTTCCGCCATCTGCCTGCCCCTCCCACTCCCCCATACCTCCCCGTGCACCGTTCACCCCCAGTTCATCCACTCGCCCATCTGATCACCCCACCTTTTCACTCACTCGCCTGTCCCTCCATCCACCCTGCTCGTCCCTGGGCCCCCATCGCACCCCTTCACCACGCTGAGCAGTCAGTCACCCCCCTAAGCCCCACCCACTCCCCATTCACTGACGCCTTCGCCGCCTGCCCGTCTCACTGACCCGTCCCTCCGATGACACTGAAACCAGCCTACACGGCAAGGCGCGTGGAGAACATAAACGAGAGACAGCCCCTGCCCTCAAGAAGCGCAGTCTGCGGCGGAGCCAGCAAAGCAAACTGAGTGTGTTTACACTGTGACACGTGCACACACGGGATCGGGAAGGGCTCCCAGAGCGAGCACTGCTTGGCTGAGTTGGAAAGGTGCGAGTGTTTGCTGGGCTCACGCAGGGCCCTCAGTTCCCCATTCCAGAACTGCGGGGCACGTCCCGGGGGGGCTGGGGCAGGCCTCAGGTCGGGGGAGGCTTCAGGGAAAGGCTGGATGGAGGTGGAGACGCCCAGGCAAGGTCAGAGCAAGACACCTGGACCTTATCCTCGAGGAGGCAGGGGCCCTTGTAGGGTTTCAAAATCGGGAGGAGAGAAAAGCCGAAAATGCTCTTTAACAGAGACCACTCTCTAAATAAATCAAAAGGAAAGAAAATGATTTAAACAAGCCCTGGCTGATGTAGCTCAGTGGATTGAGCTCGGGTTGCGAACCAAAGTGTCGCAGGTTTGATTCCCAGTCAGGGTACATGCCTGGGTTGCAGGCCATGACCCCCAGCAACTACACATTGATGTTTCTCTCTCTCTCTCTATCTCCTGACTTTCCCTCTCTAAAAATAAATAAATAAAATCTTTAAAAAAATGATTTAAACAAACACAACACAACACAGAGTGCTCTTGGTGGAGGTGGACTAGTGGGGGAGGAGCTGGAGGCCAAGACACTCCCTGGAAGGACAGCACAGGCACCGAGGGCCCAGGCAAGAGGCCGAGGGCTGGAGAGCTGGGGCGTGGAGGGTGGATGGGGGCGGGGCCAGGAGGTGGAGCGGGCAGGGTCGGATCTCAGCTCTCCCAACTCCTGGTCACTGGAGCCTGGTATCGACAAGCCAAGAACATTCCAGGGACAGAGGACAGTGTGGACAAAGGCCCAGGGGTGGAGAACTACGTGCTCTGCTGGGGACATGCTGGGCGAAGCCAGGGTGTGAGGGGGCAGCAGTGGCTGCAGTGCCATGAGCAGGGTTGGCAAAGGCTCGACCACGGGGCCCCTTGGGGCTTGGGCTCTGTCGGTGGGGGACGAGCATGAGGTGGGTGCGGGAGTCCGGCGCCCTATCTGCTGCTTTAGGGCCAGTCTGGACGTGGTGGGGGGAGGCCCGATGGTTAGAGACAGGGCTCTCTGGGAGCCGGGCGGCAGGAGCCCGTGCCAAGGTGCCCCCACCTCAGTGAGCACAGCCCTGAGCCCCTAGCTGTCCTGGCCCAGCTGACCACCCAAGTCCACAGAAATGGGCTGTGGCCCACCCGCCTCATCCTTGCACTCGGCTGGAGGCCAGCACCACCTCGAGGTGGGGCCCTGCGTGCGCAGGTGCTCGTCTGAGCCCTCTGTGTGTCCCTGGAGTCCTCGCTGGGCCTGGCCCGGAGCAGGGCCCGGGGATGCTCCTTCAGTGAGAAGATGAGCAGAATCACCGCCCTCCGGGGTCTCTCCGCGGCCTCTCCTCGGCCTCTGCCCGTGGGCCCTGGCCTCAGCGGGGCTCTCACGGCCCTTCCGGTGCAGCTGGGGGTCACACGCGGT